GATGGAGTTGGTTTTTCATCCTTCAACTCCTGGGTAATTCTTAAGTTTAAGTTAGTCAGGACCTTCTGAAAACTCTGATGCTGAAGAATGTTTTTTTCGAAGGTTCCAAATGCAGAGTGATTGCCCAAAATAGATGCCAATTTCTCAATTAGGATTTCTGCATGAGCCCCAGCGCCCGCAACCCCTATCTATCCTACAGTAACTTCTAACTGGGCAGGAAATTCTGAATCAATATTCCTGTGAAGTGACTGAGGAGATTCCATTTATGTTAGTATCATGTTTGTTATCAATTTCGAGGGTTGATTTTTCCTTGAAATTGTCTCTATTCACTGTGATGTTATGCTGTTCCATGCATCTTGTGATACGGTTGGAGAAGGAATTGTGTGACGCAGGAATGTTTGGGGCTGCTTTCCCAACCACAACCAATTAGAATTAATGTCTTGGGTCCAGTAACCCTTCCTCAGAACTGGTAGATGGGAAAATGTTGGTTTACATGGAGAAAATAGGGAGGGGAGATGGGGTAGGGAGTAAATGATAGGATAGAGCGCAAAGACAGAGAAGAGCAATTGGATAGACAAAGGAGTTGATAACAATCTGGCTAGGAGGGTGAATAGTTGTTAAGGGGACAGTTAGAAACTAACAATAGGTAGTGTGTAATGGCAGGCTATGTGATAACAAGGCCTGGTGTGTGGGGTAGGGGGCTAGGACATGGGAGAGTTTAGGTCCTAAAATTATTGAACTTGATATCGAGTCTGGAGGGCTGCAGGGTCCCCAAGCATAAAATGAGGTGTTGTTCTTCCAGCTTGTGTTGAGATTCATTGGAACACTGCAGCAAGACAGAGACCGATATGTTGGCCAGGGAACAAGATGGTGAGTTAAAGTGGCAGGCAGCAGGTAGCTCGGGGTCTTTTTTGCAAGCAGAACATAGTTGTTCCGTGAAGCGGTCACCCAGTCTACGCTTCGTTTCCCCAGTGTAGAGGAGACCACATTGTGAGCAGCAAATGCAGTAGACTAGATTCTGGGAAGTGCAGGTGAAGTGTTGCTTCACGTGGGAGGTTTGTTTAGGCCCTTGGGTACTGGGGAGGGAGGAGGTAAATGGGCCAGTGTTGCACCTTTGCCGTAGGGCTGTGGGGGTGTGTTGGGGGTGAAGGAAGTGTGGATCAGGGTGTCCCGGACGGAACGGTCCCTGCGGAAGGCAGACAAGGGAGGAGAGGGGAATATGTGTCTGATGGTGGCATCTTGATGGAGGTGGCAGAAATGGTGTCTGATGATCTTCTGGATGTGGATGCTGGTGGGATGGTAGGTAAGGACAGGGGGAACCCTGTCGCTGTTGCAGGAGGGAAGAGAAGGGGTGGCGGTAGAAGTGTGGGAGATGGGTCGGACCTGGTTGAGGGCCCGTCAACAACGGAGCTGGGGAATCCTTGGTTGAGGAAGAAGGTGGACATTTCAGAGGCTCCCTTGTCAAAGTTGGCCTCATCTGATTATACGTGACAGAGACAGAGGAACTGAGAGAATGGGATGGAGTCGTTACAGGAAGTGGGGTGTGAGGATGTATAGACCAGGTAGCTGTGGGAGTCAGTGAGTTTATAATAGATATTAGTGGCCAGTCTATCCCCAGAAATGGAAACAGAGATATCCAAGGAAGGGAAAGGAGGAGTCAGAGATAGACCAGGTGAAAGTGAGGACAGGGTGAAAATTGGAAGCGAAATTGATTAATTTTTCCAATTGAGGACGAGAGAGGAAAGTAGCACTGATGACATCATCGATATATCAGAGAAAGAGTTGTGGGTGGGGGCCGGAACAGGACTGGAACAAGGAATGTTCCACATACCCCATGAAGAGATAGGCACAACTAGGGCCCATTCGAGTACCCATGGCCACCCTTCTTACCTGAAGAAAATGAGGGAAGATAAAAGAGAATTTGTTGAGGATGAGGACGAGCTCGACCAAGCAGAGGAGGGTAGTGGTGGGTGGGGACAATTCAGGTCTTTGCTCCAGGACGAAGCAGAGAGCCCAACGACCCTCCTGGTGGGGACTTGACGTGTAAAGGGATTGCACGTCTATGTTAAAGAGGAGGCAGCTAGAACCTGCAAACTGGAGGTTTTGAAACCAGCGTAAGGCGTCAGAGGAATCATGGATGGATGTGGGTAGGGATTGGCCCAGGGGAGAGAAGACTGAGTCAAGGTAGGGAAGAGATGAGTTCTGTGGGGCAGGAGCAGGCTGAAACAATGGGGTCTGCCCAGACAGTCCTGTTTGTGGATTTTTGGAAGGTGGTAGAAGTGAGCTATGTGGGGCTGAGGGACTATCAGCTTGGAAGCAGTTGCGGGGAGATCACTGGATGAAATGAGATCAGTTAAAGCAGTAGATACAATGGCCTGATGCGTCATGGTGGGGTCATGGTCCAGAGGGAGATAGTAGGAGGCATCTGAGAGCTGGCGCTCAGCCTCTGCAAGGTAGAGGTAGTGTGCCAGACTACAACAGCAGCACCCTTATCGGCAGGCTTAATAACAAAGTCAGGGTTAGATCTAAGTGCACGGAGTGCAGTCAGTTCGGAGGGAGATAGGTTGGATTGGGTGAGAGGGGCAGAGAAATTGAGGTGAGTAATACCATGTCAACAGTTCTCAATGAACAGATTTATTGCAGGTAAAAGGTCAGAGCGAGAGGTCCAGGTGGAGGGAGAGCATTGGAGTTGGGCAAAAGGGTCTGTGGGACGGGTAGGGGACTCTTGTCCAAAGAAATGAGCACGGAGGCAAAGACAGCGGAAGAAGAGTTCGACGTCACATTGTGCCCAAAATTCTTTAAGGTGGGGACGCAGAGGAATAAAGCTGAGGCCTTTGCTGAGCACAGAACGTTTAACATCAGAGAGTGGAGGCTTAGGAGGGATGGAAAATACCCGACAGGAGTTGGGGTCGGGAGAGGGGATGGAGCCGGAGGGAAGGAGAGGAGAGGAAGGTTCCAGAGGGCCAGAGATATCTTTGAGTTGCTGCATCTTGTGGGCCTTGATGCCTGAAAGGAAAAGAAAAACTTTCTTGTTAGCACGACGAATGAGCCAGAGGATGAAGAAGAACGGCAGAGTGGTGCAGCCCTGAGCCATTGTGATGCTATGCTGTTGGAGAGAGAGGTCGAGAGTGTGCATGTGGCACCACATGGCATTGAGTGTGGATCTCAGGATGTGGCGAGAGCAGCTCTCTGTGGAATGTTGAATATCATTGAGGCATAAAATGAGGTGTTGTTCTTCCAGCTTGCGTTGAGGTTCGCTGGAACTCTGCAGCAAGCCAGAGACAGGGATATTGGCCAGGGAACAGGGTGGTGTGTTAAAGTGGCACGCAACAGGTAGCTCAGGGGTATCGTGCTGCTTCCGAAATTGGAAAAGTTAATCGATTTTGCTTCCAATTTCCACCCAGACACCTCACCTCCCTTGTCCACCTTCCACAGGGACCGTTCCCTCTGGAGCACACTTCCTTCACCCCCAACACCCGCCCACAGCCCCATGGCACCTTCCCCTGCAACTGGCAAAGGTGCAACACCTACCCAGTTACCTCCTCCCTCCCTAGTATCCAAGGGCCCAAAGATACCTTCCAGGTGAAGCAACACTTCACCTGCACTTCCCAGAATCTCATCTATTGCACTCGCTGCTCACAATGTGGTCTCCTCTACACTGGGGAAACGAAGCGTAGACTGGGTGTCCGCTGCGCAGAACATCTGCATTCTGCTCACAGAAAAGACCCTGAGCTACCTGTTGCCTGCCACTTTAACACACCACCCTGTTCCCTGGCCAACATCTGTCTCAGGCTTGCGGCAGCATTCCAGCAACTCTCCCATGTCCCAGCCCCCTACCCCACACACCCAGGACTTGTTATCACATAGCCTGCCATTACACACTACCTATTGTTAGTCACTAACAGTCCCCTTAACAACTATTCACCCTCCTAGCCAGATCGTTATCAACTTCTTTGTTTATTCAACTGCTCTTCTCTCTCTTCGAGGTCTAACCTATTGTTAACTCCATACCCCATACCCCCTCCCTATTTTCTGCAAATAAACCATTTTCCCAGCCATCATCAGTTCTGAGGAAGGGTCACCAGACCCGAAACTTTACATCTGATTGTCTCTTCACACATGCTGCCAGACCTGCTGAGGTGTTCCACCAACTTGTGTTTTTGTTCCTGATTTACAGCATCCACAGTTCTTTCGGTTTTTACAACCGATTCAAGAACTGTTAGCTGCACAAGACACATGACTACCACTTGGCTAAAAATCAGAGGTATTGCATGACTATCTATACCAGTCATTTAAAAAAAGATGTTTAATATCTAAAATAAGATCAGGAAATGTTGGAAAAATTTATAGTGGTTCATGGAAAGAGACAGAGTGAATGATTCAGTTCAATAATCTTTGAACAGAACTGTAAGAGATTAGAGATTTGAAATAAAAGCTTAAATTGCTGGAGGAACTCAGGCACTTCCTGCAGCATCTGTGGAGAAGTTAACTCTTTTTCAAAGATACTGCTAGATCTGTTGAGACTTATCCAGCATTTTCAGTTCTTATTTCAGATTTCCAGCATCCACAGTAGTTTGATTTCACTGGAAATTATAAATTTTAACGCTTTTATGCAAGTACATACGGATTGGAATAAGAGTAGAATTTGAAAGGAGAAATGAGAAAGCTGCGTTCGGGTGAAAAACAGGTTCAATTAAATAAAAGCAGAGATGACAACGCAAAGCACAGAGGAAAGGGCGGTTTGGTGCTAAATGGACAACAGAAGCTTGAGTCGAGAGCTGCAACTACTTTCAGCAGAACCAGCAGCAGCTTTCCCACAAAATAGGGATAGTGGTTAGCATCTGAACACAGTCCAGGAGGATATGACATATCTGATGTGATGATGTCTGGAGAATGGCAATGTGCCAGGGATGATGCCAGTGTCTGATTGACAGCTCAGGGCGCCTGAGAAGGAGAGCAGTGGAACACAGCTGGCTTTGTGGCGTCATAATGACCCATTATCCCAGGGATTCGAGAGAGCGGAACGTTATTACACGGAACGTTCGATCAGCGCGTGTGCTCCTTCCGGGTCACTGTTGTGGCTGGGAGACTGGTCTTTAAGTGCGAATATTAACATTGGGAGGGAGAGGTAAATAAATCAGCGTTTAAATTGCGAAGCATTGTACTTTTGTAGAGTGCGGTACTTCGTCTGGAAGAAGGTGACGTTTACGCGGAGTTACATTTGAACAAACTCTGTTGAGCATCTGCAGCAGCAATTTTGCCAGTACAGTAAGGCGTGACAGAAAGCAGGCCTCTCGTGTTATTTTGAATCTTCCGAATTGCCGGACAGATGAGAATGTAGTATATCGTAATAGTTCGCCCTGCACCCTTTAAGAATTGTTTCTATCTTTTACTGGGTATTTAAACTTTCCCATATTATCTACAGGTCACAGCTCGTGGAATTGGTTGGCTGGATTTTCAGACATTAATATCAAGATTTCTGAAACAGCACGTATTTAGTTTTTCCTTTAGCAGTTGCATTTTGAATATTCACAGTATGTAGACTGTTTGCATTCTTATTAAACATTGATGTGTTTTAATTAGGCTTATTTAAAAAAAAAACTCGTGGAGCTCTTTAAATAGTTTCTAAACTGAACTGTTATTGAACGACGTTGCGGCATTCTTCTGGTCGTGTTACGAGAGCGTTGATTTAAAGCTTTGAGATGTGACCAAAAATAGATCTGTGCTTATTTAAATGTAATTTGACAGTTTTCTACTTAAATAAAAGTAGTTTGCATTTATAGCTGTCAAGAGTCTTTAGCCTTTTATTCTGGATTAAGGAAATTGCAGTCAGTTCAAACAATGTCTTTGCCCAACTAGCATACGCTTTTTATTTCAGTAGGGGTCCTTTAGTAACAGCCAGGAATAAGGATTCTACGCAAATTGCAATGTCTGTTCTCTGTAAAAGGGATGCAAATTAAATAGGGCAAGTGCTCCGAAATACTCCTCTGCATATATTTAATATATCTAACCTGCTGAAATGGGAAATGAGAGGAAAAGGAGTGTAATTTTATTAAGGAACTTAGTGATTATTATTACTTAAATGAGCTGCCCTTATTACTTGTAAAGTTATTCCATGTCTTTGTAAACAATGAAAGCTTTGAACCCTAGATGACAAATCTTTAAATGCATAATTTTTCCAGCTATTCCATGCGAGCCCACTTGTTTGGTTCACCAAATTTTGGAGGCTTTTCTCTGATTCTTCTTTTGACAGATTCGGGCCAAGGTTGTGTAGTGCTTAATAGTTTGTAGCAGGTGCAACCTTTGTTTCCTCCTGTACTTTGAAGGGATATGTTGGTTGAAGTGTTTTTATGCAGAATTGGTAACGCTTGCTGGTGATAAGTGCTCAGTTTCATTCGTAATTCCACAGTTGGTAACGCAGCTTGCACCTGTGCTCAGTGAGGCCTGGACAACAGTCATTCCGGAGCTCATGAGTGGCTAGTAATATTTGTGCCACATAAATGCCGTGTAAAGACTATTTTCAACAAGAGAGTCTCTCTCCTTGAAAGTCAGTAAATCACCATTGCCCAAACCTTCCCATACTGACTATATGCTCAGACCTATTTTATATTTAACATTGTATTTGTTCAGCAGCACCTTCCAAACCTTTGATCTCTTAGGAATGTAAATTCAATAATTACACGTTATGAAAAATAGCAACGAGGAAAAGGTTTTTTTTTCATAAAGCTAACTTTTTTAAAAACTTATTTTCAGTGCCGAGTGCAAATGGCGATGTTCTGCATCCACAAATGTTTGAAATGTGGTCTAAGGAATCAAATACTGCAACAGAGAGGTCTATCTGTGTACACGTCTGTTTATAGAGTGAATGAAGATGACATAAAGGAAAAACTTCAGCAACTTCCTGGTGGATCCATTGATTTGCAAAAAGATCAAAATGGAATTGCTACCCTGATTATTAACAACCCTGAACGGAAAAATGCATTTTCTGGTATGGTTATCTGCTCAGTTAACTGTCCAGTTAATATATACTCTTTTCTAAGGAAAAAAAATCACTCTTGGTACTTATTTTTCTAGGGGAGGAAAACAGTTCTTGTAATTTTTTTTATCATAACAATGCTTTTTGTATAATATTGAATGGGTTACTGAAATTATGACTTATATCAAATGGAAAATGAAAGTCAAAATCTAGTACTTGAATTAATTAGTTATGCTAATTGGTTGTCTTAATTAAAAACAAATATATTGGCTTCCATGTTAGTTTTGAACTTGGCACACATTAACAACGCAATTGAGAAAACCTCTAATTCTCATACATCTGAATTTCTCTCCAAAATTTCATGATTAGCTTTTCTTTCCCTATTTATTTAAGAAATGGCTTGAGGTTTGGATAAAACTTGCATAAGGTTATGGAATGTCATTGGCATGATATTGCTGGATTAATTCACAAACAAAGCACTGCTGTATCCAATCTTTTCATCTGAGATTTCACCTTTCTCAATTGAGACTTGTTAACATTTGCCGGATGAGTATGCAGGCACAATACTTCACTGACAGTTGTGTGTCTGCGCTGACTGCTAATATTTATTCCAATAAGATACTCCTGATTTGGATAAATATAGTGCATTAAAACAAAACCTAGACCAACTGACGCTAACTGGAAAACTGTCAGCATTTAGTTGTGTACAACATTGTCTTGAGGTTGTCTGGTTCTGTTTTATCACCTTTGGTAAGGGCAATTTAATAATTGATGGAGAGAATCACAGAAATGTTTTGAACATGTTAAATACTCTAACTGTGTGTCTTGAGATCATTAGTGACACATTTTTGATGTGCAAATCCCTTTTCCATTTACAAAAACTTTCTTCTTTCTTTTGAGGAACAATGATGTTAGATTTCCGGGATAGGGTAGAGGAGCTGGAGCACTGGACTAATGGAAAAGGTCTTATCATGAGAGGTGCAGAGAACACATTCTGTTCTGGCTCTGATCTAAGTGCAGTTAAAGCGATGTCAAACCCTGAGGTAAGTAAACAAATGAGGAATGACTCATTGTTTTATTTCTGATAACTTACTTGGGAATGGGGAGCCTTTTTATAAAAACGTGTTTCTATCTGTAAATCTTTCATGCTTCACTCTGAGAATTTTATAACTTTTTAGGATAGATTTTCAATTTCTGTTCTTCCATTTTTATTTGCTGTATGCCGATCTGCTTACATCTTTCACCTGCTTTACAGGATTATTGTAAATTTCAGAACTTGCTGTGAAACTGTGTAAAATAATGACCCTCTGAACCATGTAATGTTATGCTGCTTGCAGCACAATTAATATAAAAAGTACAACATATTACATTTGGAACATATTTTGTTCTAAGTTTTTTTTTTAATATTGCCAATGGTTTTGAAATTTAATACAGTCACTTTAATACAGCAGATGGATTCTGTTACAATAATAGTTCCTGAAGTGTTTATTCAATCCATTTATTTAAATGTGCTGGTATTTTTATTCCCCATTAAGCAACCACTGTGCCTGTTCTTTATTGGCCTGACTAGTTACATAATCTTGGATGTGATAGTATAGGAGACTGGAAAGGATTCTTAGCCAGATGCTTTCCGTTTTCAACACTGTTTTGCATATTCTAATCCAAACACAGATTTGTATTGATTATTGTCTGCATAACACTGCACTTCCTTTAGTTTTCTTTTGGACATCTTTGAGAAATTATATGAAACAAAGTGGTGCTCCCTCTTATCTGCCAATTGGAAAACCACGTTTTATGGATAGTATTAAAAATTGCCCAACATTGGGTCACTTTGAATTGGCACAATGGCACGCTCGACTAATTATTGGCTTCCTGCAGTGGTTTTCTTGCATTATGGGTGGTCCCAGTAAGCACTGACCCACTCGACCTGACTTGCACTGAGTCTGGGCTGATTGATCAGTCTGAACAGGGAGAAAGTAATGAAGTCTGCATCAGTTCCACTGATTGTATATGAATGAACAGAGTATAGTTAATAAGATGGGTGATTGACAGGTGTAGATTCCCATGTGGAATTATGATGCGGCAATGATAGTGACATGGCTTGAGGAACGGCAGGACTAGGTGGTAAATATTCCTGTTACAAGTTTTTCAGAAAACAAGGAAGATGAGAGGCATTTTTGGCTAAGGAGAACATTGCCGTATTGGAGAATGAGGGTGTTCCAGATGATAGGATTGATACAGGGAGAACTAAGGAACAAAAAGTCTGCAATTGCATTGTTCACTGTGAGCTGTAGACCACCAAGTGGGAAGGATGTAGAGGAATAAACCTGCAAGGAATTTACAAGAGATGTGTAAACATAGAGTAGTCTTAATGGGGGACTTTAATTACACAACTTTGGACTGGGGTAGTGGTAGTGAGGGACAAGCATTCCTTTCTCTTCAGGAGTATTTCTGTCAGCAGTATGCCTCCAGTCCAGCTAGCAATAAGGCATTGTGAAACCTTGTTTTTGGGAATGAGGTGAGTCAAGTACATTGAGTCACAATGGGGGAACATTTAGGGGATAGGTCAGGACAAGGAGGAAGTTGTTAATCAAGCATACAGTATTCTTGGTTTATGAGTAGGGGGAAGAGTATCAGAGCACGGAAGTTATGCCAAACTTGAATAGACTATTAGGTAGACCTCAGCTAGAGTATTGTGCGCAACTGTGAAAAAGAACTGGCAGCTAACATAAAGTAGAATCTCAATCTTCAATAGGCACACAAATTGTCAAGGATGGTAAATGAGTTGGGCAAATTAGGGGCCAATTAGGAAATTTATAATTGGAGTTTGGTGCATGGCTGAGGTAAATTTTCCATTTGTCTTTACCAAGGAAGGAGATATTACCCACGATGACAGAGCAAGAAATTTGATCTCTGGAAGGGTTTAGGATTGAATAAGCTGTTGGTCCCTCAAGTTGGTAAGGGATCTTGACCAGATGATGTGATCCAAGGAAGAGAAGGCCAATGTGGGTAATGCTGTTGATGCAGTGCACATAGACCTTGAAACAACATTCACTACAAAAGATTTGAGAAAAACTATAGGTCAGCCATAAAAGAGACTTTAGTAACACTGTAACAAAATTGGCTGAGTGAAAGAAAACAGGGAAATTGTTATTTTTCACTTGCTTTTTCTGATTTTATATTAATGTTCTAGATCTTGGAATGCAGGGAACAATTTTAAAGTTTGTGAATGGTACAAAACTTGGAACATCATTAACAAAGTGGACAGTGTACAACTTCAAACAACATCAGTGAATTGGTAGAATGGACAGGGACATGAAGTTCAATGTAGAGAATTGAGGTGGAACCATGGTGGCAGAAAGAATGTAGAGAGACAGTATCAATAATTACTACTGCAAAAGATGTGCAAGAGCAGAGGAACTTGATGCAGCTACAGAAGTTGCCAAGGATGGCAGGATAGTTGGATAGAGCAATTAAGAAAACATGTTATATCCTCAGCTTTATTAATAGGGGCGCAGAATACAGGAGCAGGAAGGTTATATTGAACCTGTATAAGACCCTGGTTAGACCTTCACTAGAGTACTGTAAACAGATTTGGTCACCACATCATAGAAAGGATGTGAATGCATTGGAGAGTACAGAAGAGATGTACGAGAATTATTCCACAGATGGTAAACTTCAGTTATGAAGATAGATTGGAGAAATTATGACTGTCTTCCCTGAAAAGGTTTAATGGAAGTTTTCAAAATTGGGAGAGGTCTGGACAAAGATAAGGAGAAGCTGTCCTTGCTTATAAAAGGATCAAGTGCGTGAGGGCACCAATTTTAAAGTGATTTGCAAATGAAGTAATTGCAGTAAAGGAATAAAACTTCCATACTGCAAATCGTTCTTATCAGAAATGTGGTGGAGGAAGGTTTAATCAAATTGTTCAAAAGGGTATTAGATGATTATTCAAATAGAAATAATGCACAGGATTCTGGACAAATGTGTCATTCTTCTGTCCTAAATCACAATTGTCATTCAACTCGTTGGTGCAGACATGCTGAGACGCTACTTGTGCTATGAAATTTTTCACAAAATAATCAAACATCAGTAGAATGAGCAGGAATGTTGCTGCTTTAACATGATAACAATTAGAAATTAAATCTTCTGCATTTCCTTTCTAGGATGGGTTGAGCATTTGCATGTTTATGCAGAACACCTTGACAAGGCTTCTGAGGTACTAATATATAATTAAGAAGTAATATAATAATAGAAATCAGAACATGAAAAAATGCTGGAAGTACACGGATCAATCAGCATTCTGAAGAGTCAACAAGTAAATGAATAATGTGGTCCTTCATCAAGACTGAGCAATCCTTATGAAGGGATGTATTCTTGAAACGTTACCCGTTCTCTTCAGACTGCTTTTTAATAATTGTTGAACATTTATAGATTCTACAGAACTAAATGTGAAGTCATTCCAATTTTTAAGGGGTTATGACAGTTTATGGATTTCATTTGAAATTGGCTATAATTTTACAATTGTAACGCTGAACTTTCTAAATTGGAAAGATCATAATGCAGCTTCGCATTGGAAATATATATTTTGAAATACGTATATTTGAATGGAGAAACCAACTCTGTCCCTTTTACCTTCACTTTCATCTGCTATAGAAAATAATTACAGCTAAATTGTTTTCTTCTTTGGTTGACTTTGAAGTTTTCCTTCCTACAGATATACCAATTTAAAAGTGTTGCAATACAGATTGCTTTGCATTTATGTGGGGGGAAAAAAAAAAGCTGCAATCTTCACAACTCTCCAGATTTAGTTATGGTGAAAATAAATTGCAGCATCACTGTACATATCTCGTTATGTTCTGCGAGATGTTGATGTCAACTTCTGCCATCTAGTGACAGTTAGAGGCTATTGTTATTTTTAAATTGGAGAAAGTGTTACCTTTGTTTTGTAATGCCTGATTCTTTTCTAATGCCTATTGAACCTGTGCTGCCGTTTATGGCTAATATGTTTCTCAACCCCATTCTCCTGCCTTCTCCCCATAACCCTTCATTCCTTTACTAATCAAGAGCCTATCTATCTCAGTCTTAAAGACACTCAGTGACTTGGCCTCTGCTGCCTACATGAGTTCCACAGATTCACCACCCTGACTGAACAAGTTCCTCATCTCAGTATCCAGGCCAACCCCTTCTAAACTCCATCAAGTACAGACCTGGGTCCTCATATGACCAACTCTTCATTCATGGGATAATTCCTATGAACCTTCTTTGTCCCCCCACCAAGGCCAGCATATCCTTTAGATACAGGCCCCAAAACTGCTCACAATATTCCAGATGCAGTGATAGCTGAACATCATACAGCCCTGCTCTTGTATTCTAGTCCTCTTGAAATGAATGCTAACATTTCAGCTGCCTTCCTAAGTGCCAAATGAGCCTGTATGTTTAGCTCAGAATCCTGAACTAGGACTCCTAAATCCCTTCTTTCACATTGCAGAAGCTTTTCCCCATTTAGAAAATAGTCTACACTTCTATTCTTACTACCAAAGTGCATAACCTCACACTCTCCCACATTGTATTCCCTCCATCAATTCTTTGCCTGCTGTTAGGCTGTCCAAGTAGGGCAGCCTCCCTACTTCCTCAACACTCCTGTCCCTCCACCTGTAAATTTACAACAGTGCCCTCCATTCCTTCAACCAGATCATTAATGTACAACGTGAATAGTAGTGGTCCCAAAGCTGACCCCTGTGGAATATCTACTCACTGGCTGGTATCTCGAAAAAGGCCCCTTTATCCCCATTCTTTGCCTTCTGTCAGTCAATCTTCTATCTGTGCCAGTACCTTGCCCCGAAAACCATGGTCTCTTTCTTAGCAGTCTTCTGTGTGGCACCTTGTCAAAGGCCTTCTGGAAATCCAAATAGATCATGTCCACTGGCTATCCTTGGTCTAATTTGCTCACTACCTCCCCAAAGAATTCTAGCAGGTTTGTCAGGCATGACCTCCCCTTGAAGCCATGCTGACTCAGCCCTATTTCTCCATGCACTTCCATGTATTCGGAAAATCTTAATGACCAAAGTCAGGCAAACTGGCCTATAGTTTTGCCTTCTATTTCCCTCCCTTCTTAAAATGGGTGTTAAGGTAGCCATTTTCCAGCCCTCCTGGGGCCTTTTCTGACTCCTGTGATTCCTGAAAGATCTTCATCAACACATCTGCAATCTCCTCAGCTATCTGAGATCCCTGGTGTGTAGTTCATCTGGTCTGGGTGATTTATCCACCTTTTAGACCCTTCACCTTTTCTCACCTTCTCGTTAGCGATAACCTCCAAAGAGCATCCCACCGAGACCAAACCCCTTATCCTAACCCTGTAGCATCATTTCCCATGGCTAATTCATCTAGCCTGGACACGATTGGCCATGTTAAATTGCCCATAAACTTAAGCTGCACATCTTTGGACTGTGGGAGGAAACTGGAGCACCACACAGACAGTCATCTGAGGGTGGAATTGAACCTGGGTCCCTGGCACTGTGAGGAAGCAGTGCTAATCACTGAGCTAATGTCTGGATCTACAAGTTTTTGTTGACTGCCAAAGTTTTAGTAATTTTTTACAAAATCTCAGGACACTGAAGATTTGTTTTGTAACCTGAAACATGTTTTACTTAGTAGTTTTAATAAATTATTGTACGATGGATCGGGGGAAAGGGGCTATGATCTTAAACTGTAGCAAGTATAAGGGGAGGCTAGTTGAATTGTTGCTGGATTATTAACCCAGCAATGCAGGTAATGTTCTGGGGACCCAGGTTCAAATCCTACCAAGGCAGATGGTAGAGTTTGAACACGTTAAAAATCTGAAATAGAATCTAGTCATGACACAGTTGGTTGCTGGGGGAGTAACCTATCTGGTTCACTAATGTCCTTATCTGGTCTGACCTACATGTGCTTCCAGACCCACAGCAATGTGGTTGACTCTTAACTGGACAATAAATACTGGCCTAGCCAAGGACATCCACCCTGTGAATGAATATTTGTTAGAAAAGTTCTGCTTGTTTTTTTTTAAACAAATGGGGAATTTAATTTTGACATTTTTTAATCTTCTGGGTTGCAGTGTATTCCATTCAAACTATTCTACTGTTACAAATGTTGAATTACAAGTGAAATTACTGCACTAACAAGTGATTCTTTGCAATTGATTTTGAGTACTAAATGCATCAGACATCTATTAACCTTTCTGAAATTCCTAGTGCAGACTACCTCTGATCAGTGTAGCTTTAGTCCAGGGGAAGGCCCTAGGAGGAGGAGCAGAAGTTACTACAGCCTGTGATTTCCGGTAAGTAGCCAAGCTAATTAATGCCACTGATGAGGAAAAGGCAAAAGTAGTTGTTTGTTTTTGTTTTAGTTTAAGCAACATGAAGTACCAAATGATTTACAATGATACACTAATTTCTCGAAGTTAAAGAACACTTCAGTCTAATTTTTAGAACGTTGTTTTCCAATTTTCTCCACATGGTAAACTGCTTTTAAATTCTGTTCTCTTGAATAAGAGCATAGGCTAAATCAATAGCTATTTTAATTCTATTTGGAAGACAAAACATTAATTTATATTAATCATAATTTTGTTTCTCAAGCATTTGCTGATTTCAAAAGTCCACTTTAGCAATTGTTAACAAAATAGAGATGTTCTTCAATGGTGTAAAAACTAGACATTTAGGAATAATTCTGTGTTTGGTACTGGGATCTTGTAGAAGGTACTGGTTTCACATTCTAATATTTGAAACCTATATGCCAAAGAACATCTGTTTAAAGAGTGGTACTGCCCCTTTTTGCATCAGGCATAAATCTTGCTTTGAAATCTTTTTGATACATGCTACATAACTGAATGCTGGGGAGAAAGTTAATTTTGAGATCATGGTGGTTGCTGGTATCACTATTTTTGGCATTTGTATGATGTAAATATGGGACAGTGGATAGGTAGGAAGAAATTGATTGTGTAAAAGGCTGCAGATTGGTCAGAAAGGAAAGAGTACTGAGGGCATAGACACAGCTAATATGATTTCTGGCTTTGATTAGGGTATTTTTGTGTGGCAGGGGCACATAGTAGATTGGAGAGATTCAAGCATCAGGTTTCCAGAAAGATGGGTATGGATTTACTTGGGAGGTTATATCATCATTCAAGGAGCTTAAATATGGCATGATGATTTACGATGGCAGATGAGTTGAGTATGGGATTTTTGATGATTGAGTTAAGCTAATAAGTCTAAATCATAGAAACCCTGCAGTGTGGAAGCAGCCCATTCAGCCCATCGAGTCTACACCAACCCTCCAAAGAACATCCCACCCAGACCCATCTCTTCCATCCTATCACTGTAACCTGACATTTTCCATGGCTAATCCACCTAGTCACCCCATCCCTGGACACTACGGGCAATTTAGCATAGCCAATCCACCTAACCTGTACTTGGAGGAAACCTACACAAACACAGGGAGAATGTCTGTGTGGAGTTTGCACGGTCACCCAACGGTGGAATCAAACCCAGGGTCCTAGCGCTGTGAGGCACCCTTTGCCCTAGATTGTAAGCAAGTGTGCAGTTCTTGATTATCCTCTTCGCACCATTTGTAAGTGAGGAGAAGAAAGCACTTGAATGATTTTTTTTTTAAAAATCATCACCTTCACAGTGGGTCTTGTGCTATTTCAAATGACAGTCTTACTATACTAAGTTCTAGTTTATTCAAGCAATGGATAATATAAGCACTTACGACAAGTACAGAATACCACCTCTTAAAACATTTAAGGTTCTTTGTTCCATCACTGAGTCCCTATTTCAGGGCTCCTTTCATGATTATTGCTCCTAGGTTCTTGCCACTAATCGACTTTTTTGGTTGGGGGGGGGTTAAATTCTGTTTCCAAGATCCACCCCAAATGTCTGCTCATCTTCAGGTAACAACATATTCTCACTGACTTCTGTTGCCATCACTTCTAGATGTTTCCTAGACTTGTTCCTGCTCCTGTTGTTGTGTGATTTCCTCTTTCTGAAGTTTCTGTACGTTCCACTCTTGGAGCCCAGTTGTTGGTTTCTGGAGGCGCAACACAGTTCATGTGTTGACTACTTTACCCATAGTTTTTTAATAATATGGTCAAGTTGTTCAAGTCCACACTCCCTCATTATTTGTGAATGTCCTTTATCATTCTACTAAGCTGAACATCATTTTAGTATCATATAATAAAGGAGAAAGGAAGAATGAAGTAGAAATTAACAGATTACAAACATCACATTTGAGCTTGTTCAATATATAATCTTCCAAATTACATCTTGAGTAAGAATCTGCTTTACTGGCTAAAAATAGCACAGAATTCAAGAGACCATCAATTGCTGGCAAGTTGTAGAAGAGGTGTATTTTGTCTGACTTTTTGAGAAAGGTTTTAAGACAGAGGTACCGAGTTCTCTCTTCCAAGCCAATAAAGTAAACAGCTTGTGAGGCCCTGGGTTTTTGTTTGAAAAGTTAGAACGACAGAAGCAGCATGAATGGGTGAGCCAGGCTTCCACAGAACGAGAGTTTTAGCTCAGCTTTCAGTTGATGGGGCTTTGAAGCCGGTTATGGAAGCTGTCATTTATCTCTCTCTGCTGGAATTTTCTCTTGCTAAGGGTGTGTTTATGGGATGTTACTATATTGGAACAGTTACTGTTTATTAGTTGAATAATTGGAGTTTTCCAATAGATTTAGAATTATTACCAGTTTTGTTTGTACTTTAACTGGGTTTAAGAATAACGCATGTTTTGCCTAAAGCCGAGTAGCATGACCAATGGAATTACATCTGGAACACAGTACCTCACACTTGCCTTTTAATAAGGCAAATTAGAGTCTAGGCTATCGCTGAAATATTTGGAAGGGGTTTGGTCTGGTGCGGTCCATAACAGTAACAATATAATAAAGACGGGCACTGTAAACTCATCGACTTGTTTGCTTATTTTACCAGGCTTACGACTTCAGGAAGTGAGATTCGCTTTGTTCACAAACTCATGGGATTGGTACCAGGGTGGGGTGGAGCAACCAGACTGATTAAATTGATTGGCTATCGAAATGCTCTTAAACTACTGAGCAGTGCCCAGCCGGTGAACCCAGCAACTGGTCTCAAGATTGGTCTTGTTGATGAAATTTTAACATCCACTGATGAGGCTGGCTGCCTTGAAGAGGCAGAAAACTGGCTGAATCAATACACAAATGGATCTTCACAAATCATTAGAGCCATTAAGAATGTTGTGGTTTCGGGGAGAGAACTGTCACAAGAAGAATCACTAAAGAATGAAAAGAGTATATTTGGTACTCTGTGGGGCTCTCCTGCCAATCTGAAAGCTTTGGCTCAAAATATCAAACATAATTAGTGTCAATCTAATATAGCAGTCTAGATTAGCCTCTACTGTTACTTCAAATTGAATTTGAAGCATAAAAACTGTGTGGAAGGTGGTACTTTTCCTATGAGCAAGAGCTGAAGACAATATTCCACCTAGGATGAAATGGTGTTTTTAATTTAAAAATATTGTAAATGTAAGTCAAAATATGCCTTAACTTATGTGTACAGTTCAAAAATTACTTTAGGCTATAAAGTACTAAGGTGTCCTCAGGATGTATAAAACACTGCAAACTGTTTTGTTTGTTTCTTTCAGTCAAGTCTAGTAACCATGAAACCTACTGTATAAATGTATCTAAATTCTTATCCTCTCATTAATTTAACTTGGTCAGTATAGCTCCATTTCCATAGCAATAAATCAGTACTGGTAACAGTCTAAGTCTATTATTTACAATAATTTCTGCTTGGAGCTGGAAGACAACTCATTGACAAAATGGAAAAATTGCATAACCTGCACTCCGTTCAAACCATTTTGGAAAAAGGCTTGAATGTCCAGATGAAGTCCTTTTTTTTTTTTTTTGCTTAAGTGTGGGAATCATATTCTACATTTGTAGGAGATGTCTAGGCAATTTGGATTCCCTCAAACAGCTGTAAACATTTAAGTTGTAGACACAAACTATAATTCTTGAAGAATAAGGGGCAATATCACTTGGATACTGAAAGGGTTTGAGAGGGTAGCTGCTGGAAGGTACTCCTAGCTTTAATCCAGCATTCAATCACACCTTATCATTTGGCAGTCACTTGAACTGAAATATGGAAGCTTCTACAAGGGAAGGGTTACGAATCTATTGACCACAAGAGGATATGATTACTCAGTCACTGAACATATTTAAATCTGAATTCAATACATTTTTGGACACTAATGGAATATGGAAATAAGGAGAGTGGAGTTGCTGTATAATCATTTATTAGAGTAAGAATCTTAAATACTGTTTTTCTTTAGAACCAATTAATTTTAAAAACTAAACTTGTTTTAGGTGGCTGTTTAGAAATTGTAATTTCTATAGAATAAAGTTTTCACAGTACTCAATCAGGAATGACTGAACAAGACGTGGTTCTTTCTCCCAAAGGAGAGAATGAGTTTTTCTTAAAGCAATTATAAAAGGGTTTTGCAGGACAGATATGGTAAAGGAAGGAAGAGTGACTACAGCTAGGGGACCATAATATAGTTACCAACTAAATCCAACTTGGAATTCAGGAGAAACTTCTTTGCAAGAATAATTTGAATTTAGAACCCTACCACATGAAGTTGAAGTGAGTGCGTTAATATATTTAAAGGAAAAGCTAGATAAACAGGTTACACTGATGGTGTTAGATGAAGGATTAGAATAGGACCTGATGGAGCATATACACTGGCACAAGGAGGGGTACTATTTGTGCTGCAAATATATGATTTTGGAACTGGAACAACTTAATAGCTTCATTTGCAAACACAATAATGGCATATGCAAGATAACTGCAAGCACAGATTATCATGTCACATTATTTATTAATGACTTGGATAATGGAATAGAAAGTCATCTATTCAAATTTGCTGAAGAGACAAAGTTAGGTGGCACAGTAGGTCATGTAAATGATAGAATAAAATTGGAAAAGGATATTGACAGACTAGGGGAGTGGCAAAACAGGCAGAGGGACTTGAATGTAAATATGAAGTTATCCATTTTGGGTTTTAAAAAAGGACAGATCAGGGTACTTCCTAGATCTTTAAAATGCCAAAAGCAGGTGAAGAAAATCAAAGAAAGCTCATGGAATTCTGACCTTTATATATCTAGAGGACTGGAGCATAAATTAAAGTAAAAACCCTGGTTAAACCCCACTTGGAGTACAGAGAGATAACAGGCTCAAGGGGCTGAATGGCCATTCACATTCCTATATCAGACAATAAGCTGGTCTCTCAATACTTTCAGACAGTCCTATGGTATCAAGTGAAAATTTGTGTGAATTTCATATGTACTGAAAATTCCATAATCTGTGCAAGTTACACCAATATCAGGCACTTCGCACTAAAGCAAAATTGAATGGAATCTCAAAACCATACGAAGTACTTTAACAAATAAACCTGCAGTACCTTGAACATTCAAAATAACTCACTTATTAGTTTGGAAATTATCCTAATGTCTTCACTCAGTGCAATTAGAAAATATTCAGATACATCATGAACTCAGCACTTTGACTCAACTACCTGATTCATCTGAAAGAGAAATGTAAGGCCATTAGTTAGAAGAAATCACAATGCCAGCGTTAATTTGAAAAGATAATCTTTACTCCAATTGATGTTAATGTTTAAGTTCTTCTGTAAGTTTGCCACCTGACTTTAAAGTCTGCATGTGTTTCTTCAGCAATGATATTGGTACAGAGACAGTTTTCATGGCATTGTACCTTTTTTTAAATACGATGCTGTTTAGGAGAAACAAAATCAGAAATTGCTGGAAAAGCTCAGCAGGTCTGGCAGCATCCGTGAAGAAAAAAAGTCAGGGTTAACATTTTGGGTCCGGTGATCCTTCCTCGGAACTGGGGAAGTTCTGAGGTAGGGTCACCAGACGTGAAACGTTAACTCTGATTTTTTTTCCTTCACAGATGCTGCCAGATCTACTGAGCTTTTCCAGCAATTTCTGTTTGTGTTCCTGATTTACAGCATCTGCAGTTCTTCCACTGTTTCGGAGGAGTTTTGTTCAAATTTTTAATTACAGTTTGAAACTGGGAAGTACAAAATTAGAATCCAACATCACTTCTGTTTAGCTTAAAATGGGATAGGATGTGCCAATGGCAATTCAAAAATGCAGGTAAAAACTTCAATCCAATTATTTTTAAAATTTATTCATACAATATGGCCACTGATGGGGCCAGTATTTGTTGCCTCATCGCTAACTGCCCTCAGGAAAGCACTGCTGAACCACTTTCTTGAACTGCTGTATCACTGTAGTTTGGATACCATTGAGTTACGTGCAGAGGGCACTCAGTCACATTATTGTGGGTCAGGAAGCACATAGACCAGGTAAAGATGGCAGATTTCCTTGCCTCGAAGGCATCAATGAACCAGATCCCTTCTTACAACAGCTTCTTGATAAATTTATCAATGGTAGTCTTTTCCTGCTGGTTTACTTAATTAACTGAATCTAAATCCCCAATTTGTGGTGCATTACTAGTCTAGAAGTTAAGTTAGTTGCACTCATAGTATATACAGAAAGACTTGGTATGACAATTTTTTGTTCCACCTGAAGACTGTTATGCTGGTGTGGCCAAAAGCACCATCTCACATCTCCTCGCCACACCCCCAACATTCACCAATTGCACCACTGGGAAGCTCCAGTGGAAGGTAATTTTAATAAATAAAGAATACCTTACTAACAACTCAGCATTGCTGCTGCTTTAAGAAGGTACCTCTTGAGGACTATTACAGATTGACATAAATATGGAATCATTCATGACATTCATTGTTACACTTTCAAAGCAAAACACAAAACATATCAAATTATCAATTTATGTCAGACTGCAGGATGGAGAATATATCATTTGCAAAAAAAAAACTTTAGCCCAAAGACATAAGTTTAGTATTTGCATTTTAAGTAAAACAGTGACTATTTAACCATTTTAAAGCTTTGTAACAAAAATTGGGAAGTCCGAGCAGTCACAAATTGCAAAAACTGATCTTTGCTCAAGGGTAGTTGCAAGGGAAAAGCTGACACCAAGCTAAATTACCTCTGTTTGTTGAACAGAGGTCATGTTATTCATTGTTGCTAAACTCACTGTCAGAAGTTCGTTTTTGTATAAAATTGGTTTGCAATGCAGAGAACCAATGTGACGACAACTTTTAACAAAATGTTTAAGCTTTATTTCGACCATTGCTATAGTCAGAATAATGTAAGTTTGAAGTCAACTAATTGTTTCTGCTCGTCTAACACTTCACTGAATGTCAACTATGTAGGCAATGTTACTTGTACAGCTATTACCAGCCTCAATTACAACGATACGATAGGGTGATGTACTTTCTCACTAAATTAATAGAAAAAAGGGAGAAAAGGAAAACAATGATTCTTAATTTGGCTATGCAAAGCAAAAGATCTATTCACACACTTGCCTGACAGAACCAGATAATTCTACATGGATGTAATTTAAATTAAAAAAAAAATCACAAAAGGCATCGGTACAATACCAGGGAGAATGAAAAGCCTTCAGCACAATTGGTGCTTGCAAGGAGTTCAGATTTCACATTTTATATCATGCACAAAGGGTGAGTCATTCTGAAATTTAACACTAAGATATTTTAAAGCAATGAAAATAAAGTTAATGCTACCACAATAAATATCGTGCAATTCCTACTTTAAAAGAAATCTACAAATCACAAAAATGGCAGTCGTGCCAAAATGAAGTAAAGCAATTAAAAGTTAGTTTTAGCTTTAATTGAGTGCAATTCTGGTTGAGAAATTCTACATTCCTCAGTTGCCCTTAATGTCGCAAGTGTTAACATTTGTTCCTTTTAGAAGTGGGAACTGTCAGATCTAGACCTCTGTTACAGTGCATTGCCCATCAGGTTGCTGCTCCCTGCCTCGGATGCTGCTGCCAGGCCCTTCTGCTGGAGACGGCTCTTCTCCTGGAATCTCACTGTTCAGAGAAGTGAGTCTTTGTCTGCTGTGGTTGGAGGTTGGAGACTCATGATGCTGACTGGTGTTCTCATCCTCTGTATCAGAACTTGTTGCAGACTCAGTGTTATCATAAGACATTCTAGCTGCATGCTGTGCAGCTGAAACTCTACTTACAGAAGCGACATATTGCTCTTCTCCTTCTCCTCTATGACTCCTGGTCAGGTTTTGGCCACTTACTTGCAACTGTGCAAGCGAGTTCACAAGCAATACATTTGCATCTGGTGAAGGAGTTATTGGGCTTACTGGCTGATCAACTAATGAAGTTGCTGGTCTAACTGTGGGCCTCATGATAGAAACAGAAGGCTGTATTGATACAGATCCAGCACCAGCAACGCTAACTGCTCCATCTGCTGAATTCTCTCTTTCCGAAGTTAATCCACTAGAATCGCAGTCTAAACGAAGACCTGCCACTCCCTTTTTGGGAATATCTGCTATGTCTCGTTTCATCTTTCTGCGGCGACCATGCTCATTACGTCTAAACTGAATCATGTTCTCCAGGTCCGCAACATACAAATAGCCAGCTATGAGCATTTCGATTGTCTTTTTGCCTTTCAAATGAGCATCTTCCAGCTCTATACTTGTGCGCTCATCGTATTGCCACCAGCCATTTGTGCCTTCATAGTACCAAGCATACTCCCCATTTCCTCGGCTTGCTGCTTTGAGCTCTTCGGGGGACAGCAAAGCTGGCTTGTCTAGAAACTCCTCAGGAATTTCCTGACGACACAGTGCACACCGTCTGCTTTGCCAAGATGCTCCTTTCACGCACAAGAAACAGAAGATATGTTTGCATGGCAATTTAACAGGATGAACACAAGTCTGAAGACAGATAGCACATTCCGGTACAGTCAGAGAAGGTGCTATGTTTGAGCAAGACTCATTCAACTTCCTTCCTCCTGGAATCATGTTTGATGCATGATCGATATCCCCACAGCCAGCCATTCTAAGAAGGAGAATAAAGATTTTGTATCAGCAATCCAATGTTAATATAAAACAAACACACAAGGGAAAGGACTTCCTTTGTCAGCTATGTATAATACAGTCATAAAGAGCATACAGAACTCCAAACATTGTGCTAAATCTATACAAGGCACTAATCAGACCATAGGAGAAATAGTGTAAGCAATTTTGGGCCCCTTAACTGAGGAAAGATATAATGGTATTGGAGGCTGTCTAGAGAAGGTTCACTATGCTGATTCCAGGGATGGTGGGACTATCTTACGAGGAGAGGTTGAATAGATCAGACCTGTATTCAGTGGAGTTTAGAAATATGAGTGGCAACCTTTTGAAATATACAGGAGTCTTTAGGAACTTGACAGGGTAGATTCCCTGACCCCACCACCTCCGATGGCTGTAGAGGCTGCAGTAAGTATATTCAATTCTAGGCTGAGGAATGTCATATTAAAACTTTGTTCAGCATATTTTCACTAATATTGCTAATAGCAGTCTCGCACACAATGCATTTCAGCTATAGATATTACAGGTTTCATACTAAGGCTTAGGGAACAAGACATCACAGCTTGCTTCTATATTTTAACTTGCAGCATAACAGTAATTATATCACTGCTATTGTACATTTACTTCTGTGAAAAACAGCTCTCACATATGTTTCAAACCTCAAGTTTCAGATAGTTCCTTCCCTCATATTGGTTCTGTGCATTTTATTTCCGATACAGTTCATAAAGATACAAGCTGAAATTGGTCTGTAAATTGTGCGTCAACAGAACACAAATGAAGACGACCTAAAAAGTTCTCAGTATGTCTTCTGGTGCATGTCAATCAATGTGAAGATTACTTTTAAAAGGAACTTCTCATTACAGAATAAGGAAATCACAATTTCTTGTTAGAAAAGTTGCATTAGCTACTACAACTTGTTTTAAGCTTCAGTTGTATGGGGAGTACAGCCCAGTTTCAAATGCAGTACTGCATCATTTTTAATCTTAACTTTAAAGCACAGGGACTGGATCAATTCTTTATTTGCAAAAATATTTTTTAATCAAGGAAAAGTTGCTTTAAAAATAATGTTCATAATATTCACTAATGTTCATCAGTTCATATATACTTAAATCGTTGCTCACTTTTGCTTTTAAACAGAACATTTACTAAAATGAGAAAGATAAGCTGGCAATTCACCAAGGAGTTCTTTCTAAGCTTATAAACTGTGTTAACAATGAGAGTGCATACAAACTTCCAGCATGGTCCACGTTTTTTTTCCATAATTCATGAATGAGATGTGGACTTCATTGCCTGGGCCATTATTCATTGCCTATCCCTACTTATTCTCAAGAAAGTGGAGACAAGTTGCTTTCTTCAACTGCTGCATTATATGTAGGTAGACCTACAATCCTGCTAGGGAGAGAGTTCCGAGATTTTGACCCAGCGACAATAAAGGTACTGTTTCCAAGTCAGGATGGAGGGAAACTTGCAGGCGGTGGTGTGTCCATTTATCTGATGCCCTTGTCCTTCTGGATATTAATGATCATGGTTTTGGAAGGTGCTGTTTATGCAACCTCTGATTTTTTGCAGTGCATTTTGAGTGTTGTTGAAACTGCACTCATCCAGGGCAAGTGGGGATTATTCCGTCACACTCCTACTTATACCTTGTAGATGGTGGATAGATTTGAGGAGTCATGGAGCAAGATACTTACTGCAAGATTCCTAGCCTTTAACCAGTTCTTGCATCCATAGCATTTGTATGGCTAGTCCTGTTCAGTTTCTGTTCAATGATATTGTCAGTAGTTGTCTAACCATTATTTTAATCAGTCAGAGATTTATGCACGTTGAAAAGCAACATTTCTTATATGCATTCCAGATGCACAAGGATGTTGCTGGAGATGAAAAAATGCTCACTGAAACTTTTATTAAATATAGAACAAATTTCTTTAAGCAAAAAGAAATATCCAAAATATACACAAGAGTCCTCATCTTGCATTGCACTCACAACATACATTATAGTCACAAAATTATGCTTTGGGATACTAGGTACAAATTCTGTACCAGTTTGTCAGAAACTATTCTCTTCGTTACATTTGTTGAGTCATTGCCTATATTAAAGTAAATAAGTAAATTCCACCATTAAAGTAATAGAAGTGGAATTCTAGATGCACGATTAGGTGTTACACTGGTATCCACAAAAACTTTTGTATCTAGAGTTTCTTTCACTCAATAAGGTACTTTTACAATAATATTCAGTATTCTTCCTTCTAATGTTTATTTTAGAAAATACAATTTAAATCTCTTTAACATAACTTCTGCATTCAAGACAATTGTGACAACTTTAAAAGAAAACTACTGCCTCAGGAAATTAACTGGGCATATTATGGATATGTTAATTCATTTTATACACAAAAAGACAAATCAATTACTTATGTTATACTGAATGGAGAAATTCAAGAGCGAATTGGGTTTCTTCATGAAAGAAGCGATAGAGTATTATGACAGGCAGACTATAGCACTATATTCTTTGATGGGGTATCACAGTTTATTCTTCAGTCTCGTAGATTCTTGCACCTAATCACAGAATGAACACGAGATCATTCAGCCCATTGTGTCTACGTTTGCTCTCTAAATGAGCAATTCATCTCATGCCACTCTTCTGTTTTGTTCATCTAGCAAACATGCAAATCTTTTGTTTTCAAACAATTCCCCTCAAAGTCTCAGTTAACCCTGCCTTCATCACACTCTTAGGTATTCAAGATCCTAACCACTTGGTGCATGAAAAGGTTTTTCCTCATGTTATTATTGCTTCTTTTGCCAATTATCTTAGATCTGTGTCCACTGGTTCTCAAGTTTCCATCAAAGTCTACTCTGTTTAGACACTTCATAATTTTGAATCTTTTATAAAATCTCCTCCCAACCATCTCTTCTGAGAAGAACGGTCCCAACCTATAATCTTTCTACATAACTAAAGTTCCTCAACCCTGAGACCAGGATAAAACATTTAGTACCAGATTCAAACATCAATTTTGAAGTACCAGTATGATCAAAATTCAACGTCCAAAAATATTTAAACATACTAACAGAACTGTGGATCCAGTTACAGATTTTTGCTGCAAGTTCCTGCAGAGATCAATGGATTCAAAGATGTTGCCGAGCTTCCCCAAGTTTCTGATTCCACAGAACCTCTAAATATAAAAAAAGCAAGATAAGAAAATTACAAATTCCATAATTTATGTACAGTAATGTTACAAAGATATTTACAGATTATTTGTTCTTATACATATGGAACAGCTAGATGCTATGAGGATTGACTTTCATCATCAACTCAAAAAAAAGTGCAAAAGAACATGATTGTAAAGGAGAAACCTAGTGAGAAGAAATGGCAATTTGGCCAAGGTGCGGTGACTGAAATACGGTTAAAAGTTCTAGCTTTAGTCACACCAGACTCCAACTGCCCATTGCTCTGTCCTCTCTAATTTCTCTAGTGATTTCTAACATACATACCCAACCACTGGCATTTGCAACAAAGACCATATCCGGAGAAGACTGCTCAGAGTTCAGACAGAGGGAAAAAAAAAAACACCGACTCTTAAACTCTCGTCCTCTTGTCAAATCCCTGCATAACCTAAACCCCTCCCTATCCTTTCACAATCCTACAATCACACCCCCACTGTCCCCCAGTCCTCACAACCACTATCGATCCCTGCTAGCCATTTTCTTACGTTTGGCACGACCTGGGCCATCTGCTGCTCACGTCCTATTCACTGGAAGTTGCTCTTTCAACCTCTCTATTTCCTTTGGCCCCTTTAATACCATTTTTAAAAAAATTCACCTCTTTGACTAAGCTTTTGGCTTCTTTGGTTTATCATCTGGCTTTTCTTCACAATTGTGAAGCGTCTTGCATGACTTTTGATGTTTTTAACATATAAAAGCAGTGTGTTGTTTGAAGCGGGTAAATAAGCACTAAAACTATAAAAGGTAATAAAGCATTCAGTTCCCTTCTAATGAGAAAGCTATAAGGTAAGCATTTGAGGTCTACTTTAGTTATCATACAAGCAAATATATTAGTGTTAGCTTTAAATTCTAGCACAATGTATCAAGAGTCACATCGGTTAGTATTTTTTCTGAAGAAGGGTCCTGACCCAAAACGACAACTTTCCTGGTCCTCTCATCCTGCTCTCCTGCTGTGCTCCTCCAGCTCCACACTGTGTTATCTCTGACTCCAGCACTGGCAGTTCTTACTATCTCTCTTGGTCAGTAACACAATACTTTTTGTTAAGGCTTGAATTATAACATACAATTCTGCCTTTACAGTGTGCTATTATTAGGGACAACCTGAAAGCAAGGGTTGTACATGAATTCTACTTTATGTAAAATTAGCTCCGTCATATGGAGTTCTGATCACTCAGTTGCAACCTTACGTATAATTTTTCAATTGACATTTCCCAAAATTGAAAAGCCAAATTTTCTCCAGTCTTTCCTCATCACTCACTCAGTCCTCCATTGCTATGATTCAGCCTTGCGGCTCCTCTCTAAGTATCTCTGGCATCTGAACTTCTTTGTGCCTCAGTGACCAGGCGTATGTGGTATTTAAAGTATGATCTACTCAGAGTAATAAACAGTTCAAGCATGACTTCCTCTGCCTTTTAAGCTACTGTTTTGGCAATAAAGTTCTGCAATCTATTTACATTTTCTGTAGAAAGAACTCTCAGTTAGTGCCACATCTTAGTAATCTTTTTATTCATGCTCTCAATAGTTTCTTCAGACTTTCATGCATCAGAAATTGCTTTTGGCACAAAGTATCTAATATGGCATACTATAAGGTGAATAATTAATTTATTTTATCATTGAATTAAGCATCATAAATATTAGACAAAAATAACATCAGGTTAAATAGATGTTGCTCACACTGGAAAACAATTTGAGTGTGGTGTGCTCTAGGAACGCTGGGCCTTGTTTGTTCTCCATATTTATAGAGTATATAGACTAGAACATGGGTAACAAATTCCCACAACATATTGAGAGCAGAAAAAGAGTAAGTTTGACAGTGAGGAGTACTGAAAACAATTTCAGAAAAATAACTGACAGTGAAATTGTCAAACAGGTGAGGATACTGTAGGTAAATGTGACATTTCAGGGGAAGAAACAAGTAAAGGCTGAAAAGACAACCGAAGATCTGCATGACCAAGAGTTCAAATTGAATAGATCACAGAGATCAGGAACTTAACTCTACTTAACCCCGCTGGCCATACAAATACTATCAGAGAAGGTCAGAGGCTGGGAATTCAGCACTGACTCTCCAAAGACAATCTACAGGGCACTAATCTAGAAATTGATGGAATACTCTCCACTTGTTCGGATGAGCACACCTGCAAAAACTGTTAAGAATCTCAACACCATCTAGGACAATGCAGTTTCCTTGACTTGTAGCTGACTGACCACGTAAAACATTTATTCCCTAAACTATCAGTGCACAGAGCAACCGCAGTTTGTTCTCTCTAAAGTCTATGAACTTGATACCCTAGATGGAAAAGGACAACAGGCACAGTGCAAATACCATCTGCATGGCCCCCTAAGCAAAGCTACAAAGTCATGTAATAGGATATATCCTTCTACATATATCATACATGTACATTAGCAGATTTTAGTAACTAGGGTATATTCATTAGTTCACAAGGCACTGAATGCAATATATAAGAATTAAGAACAATACTGTTTACATAGTTGGGTGCAAATTTACTGTGAATGTAAAATCAGCCTGCAGAGTCTGTATCATGACGTCCTTCATAAAGAATCAATGTTAGCAAACAAAGTGGAGAACAATGAGAATAAAAGCAGAACAAAGATCAAGACCAAATAATAAGAGGGAAAAGGCAGAGAATGATAAGAAAGACAACATGACATCTGGCATTACATGTGCAAACCCTTGCTCAGAGGTTTAAGAAAAAAGTAAAACAAAGCAGTAATGATAGGAAATGAACATAATGGTCATGTTGGAGCTCCATTTTGAGATATATAAGTCGAATCAAACAAGTATATGCGTCATTCATGAGTTTCACTGGTCTGTATTCTGGTTGACAGTGCCACTCAAAATTTCCAAGTTTCAAATTTTATAACAAATATCAAAAATTAAAAAATCTACTGCAGGGTTCTTCCTGATATTGTGAAAATTAATTAAAAATGGAAACTTTCCTCACTTGGAACAGAACAAGGAATATATTGATATATGTGCGCTTTCCATTTGCCTCTCTAGGGAAGCAAAGAAAGCAATCAAAAATACTGTTCGAAAAAGCTTCAAAATAAAATGTAAAAAACTTAGCCTTGTCAATCTTGCTTTTTATTTTTCCTGCTGACTATCGCCAGAAATATGTTTAGTGCTCTGCCTTCCACGTTCCCGCTTATTACTTTCCCATTTACTAAGGCAGTCATTTAGGTGGCGTTAAGTGCAAAGCTCACGTGCGGTAAGGTACATGCACATCAAACCACAAAAGAAACATGGCTTTTACTATTTTTACCATATTTCTCCCACTGAACAGTGGAGGGGGAAAGAAATGTCTTGTTAGGCTGTAACATTTAGTATCCAAAAATTCGGCAAAGAAAATCAGGAAATCTTTTCTCCAGTAAAGTACGGTTCTATATTTCTCCCACATGCACAAAAAAGGTTTTAAACATCGGTTTCCAAAGCTCCTTATAATGACAGGTTTCTGTGGCTTACGACTGATAGCTTCAAGATCCTGGCAGGTCACACCACATTTAAATGCCATTGGAGCCAGAAGAACAGTTTCATTCAGGACGTCTTGGGGTTGGGAAAAGAGGGGATTTTCGTTCTACCTGAATGGCAGACTCCCAATCAGAAAACTCATACTTCTGATGTTGGGGTCTGAAGTTCCTTAATTAGGAGTGAGCTGAGCAGGTGGGCACAGACTGCTGGAGTTTACATTACAGCATTTTGAGGAGAAACTATATTTAGCTCCACAAAAAAGGATTACAAGTGACCAATCTCAATCAAGTATTCTGAGTTTGATTTACTCTCAAAGCATTTTATATTCCATAAAACCCTGCTTTTAATCGTAAAGGATTAATACATTTTCAACATTTTTTTTTCTAATATGCATCCAATTTTCCAGTTAAACAAATAGACAGAAAGAAAGCAGGATCTAGATTTCAAATTTTTCACCCAAATCCTTCAGTCGAGCTCTATTGATTTTGTTGGTCCACGTTGGAAAAAACACAGCAACAACGACAAAGTTTTTGAAAAAAAGCCTGTACATAGCAACAAAATCGAAATTAGAGGAAGGCCCAAAGTGGGAGCTAAATATAGCAATCATCGAGCTTGAGTTTGAAAGCCTGTAGATACACTGGATCAAACAGGCCTGTGGGGAAGAGAAGGGAGATTTCATTTTATTCCAAGAGTTATTCACAATATAAAAAATACAAGAGTACAAATTAATGGGGAAAGTTTACTCACCAACAACCATTATCCCCGCGCACCAAAAAAATTAATGTTTCATAAATGAACCTGATGAGGACAACAAAATACATTCGGATAACACTTGAGTAAGGCCTTGCACTTTACAAAGCCGAAGCACATGCATATTTTGCGATGAGGGAGATCGGACGAGTATGGCTCCGGCGACGAAACCAGGCTGGACCGGTCAGCCCAGCTGGGTCTGTGACAGTAACAAGAAAGTGCAAGGTGGGGGGAGGAAGGAGGCATAACAATGAAAAGAGGGGATTGCACAGGAAAGGGAGCGGGGAGGGTCAGGCTGTCTGCAAGCAGCAGCCCGGCGCCCCACTCTAATCCACTCCGTGCTCCAAACGGGAACATTGGTGCCGCCACGTTCGATGGAACGCGGGGCCTGAACGATACAATCAGTCACCATAGCGCCCCGAGCGAGGCCGATTGTTCCTTTGTGAGCCAGGCAACGGCACCGGGTTCGATGCCATTGAATGTTCCTCACTTACCCGCCAGCGCCTGCAGCCAGGGGCTTCTGCCTAGCCGCTGTCACCGAAACACTCACCAAACACCAGACATGGGAGGCCGGGGGGAGAGAGAAACAAAAACAAACACAGCCTCTCAGGCCCCAGCTTAGCTCGGCCCCTCCGTATCTCAGCAGGCGCAACTTCCACACGTCAGCTCGGCAGAGCGTGCTGACGCCAAGGCCACACCCTCTCCCGAAGAAGCTGCTGCTCCAGGCACTTAGACTTGGTGATGGGTAGGGGTCAGAGAAGGCTTGGCACCGCTCTGTGTAATGGCAGCAGCACTGGGTCCTAGCCAGAGATGTGCCATAGGTTTTATTTTGGAAGGCGAATCGTCCTTAATCAATTTGCTGGAGTTTTTAAAAATAATATTTGACGAGAGTAACACTGTACGTGGACTTCCAACGAATTTCTTACTCAATGTCGTTCCCTCATAAGTTTGAATATGTCCATTGAATCATACCTATAATGCATGTGGAGTCCTCACTTCTGGCTGTTTCCTGAAAATTCTGACTTTAAATGATGATTGGAATTAATCATAGATCTTTGAGTTCCCATGGGAATCGCTGTTAAAGCCATTTCAGTTAGAGCACTATGCATCCATAGCTAAAATAACCACTGAAATAAAATACATCACAAAATATGAAAGCATTACAGTATGAAATATAATCTATAAGTAAATGTAGTATAGGAGGGTCCCTGATTTACAAACATCTGACTTACAAATGTGATCCCATCTGGGGGTGTAAATTTGAAGACCCAACATACAAACTTTTCCTGCACCTACAACAGCTGCTTTACATGGTCCTGCATTGTGTTTTGACTTGCGTGCAAATTGACTTACAAGTGGACCCCAGAACAGGGATCTGTTTTCAACCGAGGGACTGCGTGCATGTTATTTTTGGACTCACCAAGATCCATCTAGTGGCAGATGTTGGTTGGTGGAGGTAGCTGATGGAATCCCATTGCTATCTGCACCAACAAAATTCTGTCACTAGATGGAGCCAAGGACCCCCGTGTATATTCAGAATATCAATCGCTGCCTCCAACGCATTCACATCCTCTAAGTAAGGAGACCAAAACTGTAAACGGTATTTGAGACGTGATCTCGCCAGCGCCCTGTATAAATGAAGCATAACATCATTGCTTTTATGTTATTAATATGGGGTAGCATTCCATCAGCCTTCGTATTACTTGCTGTACCTACATAATAACATTTTGTAAGTCATGCACTGGAAGACTTAAATTTACCTGCACCTCCGAAGTCTGCAGTTGTTCTCCATTTAAGTAATACTCTACAGTTTTATTGTTTCTGCCAAGGTAAAAATAACATTTCCCAATATTTTATTCCATTTGCCAGATTTCTGCCCATACACTTAACCTATCTAAAATTGCTTGCATCCTTATTTTATCATTTTCACAACATACTTTTCCACCCAGAGATAGTAAGAACTGCCGATGCTGGATAACACAGTGTGGAGCTGGAGGAACACGGCAGGCCAGGTAGCATCAGGGGAGCAGGAAAGCTGACGTTTCGGGTTGGGACCCTTCTTCAGAAATTTATACTTTATAAATACTTTCCGACCTATTTTTGTATCATCCACAACTTTAGTTACAACACGGTGGCACAGTGGTTAGTACTGCTGCCTCACAGCACCAGGGACCCAGGTTCAATTCCAGCCTCGGGTGTCTGTCTGTGTGGAGTTTGCACGTTCTCCCTGTGTCTGCGTGAGTTTGCTCTGGTTTCCTCCCACAGTCCAAAGATGTGCAGGTTGGGTGGATTGGCCATGCTAAATTGCCTGTAGTGTTCAGGGATGTGTAGCTTAGATGGGTTATAGGGGGATGGGTCTGGGTGGGATGCACTGAGGGTCGGTGTGGACTTGTTGGGCTGAAGGGCCTGTTTCCACACTGTAGGGATTCTATGATGATTCTCTCATCTAAGTCATTGATATAAATTGTAAAAAGCTATGGCCCAGTTCAAATCTCTGGAGAATTCCTGCCAATCAGAAAAATACTGTTTTATGCACACCCTCTGTTTTTGACAAGTCAACCAATCCTGTATCTATGCTAATATGTTAACCTGTATACCATGAGCTTCTACTGTGTGGAAAACCCTTATATAGCATCTTGTCAAATGCCTTCTGGAAATCAAAATGCATGTCAATAGGCTCCCCACATCCACAGTGCACATTACTCCTTCAAAGAACTCTAATTTGTTACCCTTGATTTCCATTTCACAAAATCATGCTACTCCTAATTACCATGAATTTTTCTAAGTGGCTAACAATAAGCTCCTTAATGGAATTCTGAAGAAGGGTCACTGGTGCCGAAACATTAGCTCAGTTTTCTCTCCACAGATACTGCCAGATCTGTTGAGCTTTCCTAGCAATTTCTGTTTTTGTTCCTGATTTCCAGCATTCACAATTCATTGTTTTTTAAAATAAGGTCCTTAATGATCAATTATAACACGTTCCTCATGAAAGACAAGTAAACTAGCCTATAACTTCCTGTTTTCTAGCCTTCCAGCCTTCTTAATTAAAGGAGTTACATGAATTCTTTCCAGCCTGGTGAAATCTTTCCAGCATCTAGTGGATTTGGAAAATCAACACCAACGTATTGATTACCTTCTGTGGAGAGGAAGCAGAGTTTTGGGTTCAGTGACTCTTCTATCAGAACTAATTATAGCTAGGAAAAGGTGGTATAAATGCAAAAGAAGGGATGGGAGGAGGGGGAAGAATAAACGCTAGGTGGAGATAGAGCCCAGAGAGAGATAATAGCAGTTGGCAGACAAAGGAATGGGTAATGGTCAGTCTGGGAGAATCAGTAGCTGCTAATGGGGACTGAATGCTGGTTGGTTGTGGTAGCAGTCCATGTGAGGACAAGGCCTGGTGTGTGGGGGTTGGGGGAAGGACATGGAAGAGGGTGCTCAGGCCCTCATATTATTGAACTCTATATTGGGTCCTGAAGGCTGAAGGGCTCCCAAGTGGAAAATGAGATGACATAATGTCCTTTCTAGTTCCAGCTACATCATTGGTACCAATGTGGGCCCGTCCCATGGCGAAGCTTTCTCCATTTGAGTGCAGATATCCCAAATCCTAGAATTGGGCAGACAACACAGCTATCTGGACTCACATTCTTAGCTGCAGAGAACAGTGTCAATCTCTCTTGTTGTACTGTCCCTTAATACCCTACATTCACTTTTATTACCCCCACTTGAAAGGCTTCATGTACAATGCTGCATTTGTCAGTTAACTCATCCACCCTGCAGATCCCTGCCTAATCAAAACAAGCTGATAAACCTCAAACCTGATGGATAATTATAAAGTCTCCTGCTCTCCCACCCTCTGGATTCCCTACCTGCCTCATTTGCAGTCACATCCTTCTGCCCCCAACCACTGACAAAATCAGAAGACAGCATCCTCAGGACTGTGGCCTCCTCCTGGAATACAGTGACCAGGTCACATTATTATTCCCCGACGTGCTGCAGTGTCTGAAGCTTGGCTTCCAGCTCAATAACTCTGAGCTGAAATTTCTCAAGCTGCAAACACTTTTTACAGATGTGTGTGCTCTGGATCATACTGGCATCCAGAAACTTCCACAACCTACAATCACAGCACACTAGAGGCCAAGCAGCATCAGAGGAGCAGGAAGGCTGACGTTTTGGGCCTAGACCCTTCTTCAGAAAGGTCCAAAAAGTCAGCTTTCCTGCTCCTCTGATGCTGCTTGGCCTGCTGTGTTCATCCAGCTCTACACCTTGTTGTCTCAGATTCTCCAGCATCTGCAGTTCCTACTATCTCCGATCACAGCACACTATCTGCCTTGTCATCTCTTTAATTTGTTTTAATCAACTACTCAGTTATTTTACTCAATTATTTGCATTTTGTTAAGGTTACCACCAGTTCCTGAAGCTTTCAATCTATGGAACTAGATTCTAACAATTTCACAGATACTCACCAAAAAGCTAGTTGCTTCCTCAATCAAACACCTACCTGTTTCAACGTGAATTTACACGTGATTTCTTTTCCTCTGAACAACTCCAACCACTGAAGTGAACTGAGTAGGTGTGCCACACTCTTTTAAACTTGCTGCTCCTCCTGTCTCAGACAGCTGTGACAATAATGAGAATATACGGATTATTAATTTTTGAATTCCTTTATCTGATTTTAATACCAGGGACATACATGAATTAGAATAATTTTAGCAAGGGGACAAAACGCTGACTTAAAATGACTATGAAAGTACACTGAACATGCAGTTATGCCAAGCTTCGTGAAATGAATGTGGGATAAACAAAATCATCTGAACTGAAATTCACATTTTTATCAAAAGATGCTGAAACTATTGAAACTAGTCGATCCAGTCAGGTGTGAAGAAGCTCTTGTCTCCAATTTTGATTTTGCACCCTTATGATAAGTTTCATTTATGATAAGGAGATGAAAGACAATACCTGCAATTATCAAGTTTGGGGAGTTCTGGTCTGTGCCATTGGTAACCCTGCCGGAACTGTCAGGCAGCCTGGATCACCCACCAGGTCCTGGTTCTGACACTGGACTTAGGTTAGTGAAGGTGGAGTAATAAATCAGGAGGGAAAATAAAGGGTCGAGGCCCGAAACATCAGCTTTCCTGCTCCTCTGATGCTGCTTGGCCTGCTGTGTTCATCCAGCTTGTTATCTCAGATTCTCCAGCATCTGCAGTTCCTACTATCTCTGGGAAAATAATCTGTGCGTTTATTAAATACAAAGGTGCGTATCTCACAAGAAATAAAAAGGCAAAAGTAATAAACAGGGAAATAATACAAAGGTGAATAAATTACAAGAGATAAAATAAAGCCAGCCAGTGAAACTGACACTATCAGTTATTAACTATTGACACAAGACAATTACTATTATAAACTAAATGGTAGTTTTAAACACACACACTTTTTTAGACTTCCTGACCAGGGGTGCTCTGCACTGTCACCATGCCACCTTTCCCTCCCTGCTAGCAAGGCTGGATGCTGTGGGTCTTGAGAAAAATAACCTCATCACTGAGGATAAATGTATTTTGAATTACAGCTCCCTTTCCTGCTTGGCGCAGCCAGTGCTTTGCTGAAGACTTCAGACGGTGTTGAGGGTGTTCAGTCTGGGTTGAGTCTGCTGATGCGGTAAGACGTGTTGTGGATGTATTCAGTGAGTACTTTAGTTTTCTTATCTTTAGGTGGGTTTTTTGAG